CAGCTGGTAGTAACATGATCCCTATCTTCAATCACTCTACAGCCAATTGGACAATCAATATTTACCTCAAACCTCGAGACAGTAGCCAACCATTAGTTGGAATGATATCCTTAAAGATCCTCCACCAAAACATCCATTCTCGAGGCCTCAAACCAATTTTCAAGCAGGAAAAATAGAAATCATCATCCTCCTGAAACTTCCGGTTATAAACATTTGCTGAAATAGTGGAACCAAGAGGAAAATTAATCAGCTCCAGGGAGTCTGCATCAATATCATTCCAGATAGTAATATCTGAAATCCTATCAGCTAGCTGTACTCCAAAACATGTCAACAGTCTTTGCCTATTCCAGGTACCAGCCGTGGTAAGAAGATCTGCTACCATCATATCTTCAATAGCTCCAACATCACAAAAAGTAGGCCAAGCTGAAAGAGCCAAGTCCCAGATCCATATATGGTTCATGACCTCAATATCCCGACCATTACATATCTTCCAACGAACACAACTGCTAAGACAATTGGCTCCATCACATATAAGCTTCCATACGCCTGAATCACCACGTTTAAACTCCACATTCAACGGCCACTTCCCATACTTCCGGATCATGCATCTTTGAAAGAGCTCTATTGGTTTACTAATAACATCCCAAGCAATCCGTGACCTGAGAAGTCCTATCCAATCCACACTCGCATGAAATCCAAGGCCTCCTTTCCTTCTTGGCTTGGTAATACATTCCCAGGAGGCATAATGTATACTTCGATGAGAAGCATCATAATCCCATAAGAAACTTCTACAGATCTTCTCAATTTCATTCAGCACAGATTTAGGGACTAACATATGGGACACCATGTACACAGATGAGGGAAGCAAGACAGCATTGATCAGAGTCACTCTACCTGCTAAAGATAGATGTCTGACTCCCCATAACAATGTTTTGGCACGAGCATGTTGTACCAAAGCACCAAAGTCCTGCTTGACCAATCTTCTCACTGTTAACTTGATTCCAAGATAATCCATCTCTTCAACTTTCCTGCATCCAGTCATCTTGGCCAGCCGGGATCTAGTAGTAGAGGGAGTCCTTTTGCTAAAGAGAATAGCAGATTTACTCCTGTTGACTCTTTGGCCCGTCCAAGAATAATACTCCTCCAAAATAGAAGAGATCTTCCTTACATTGGGAATAGAAGTACCTGCAAAAAGCAAAATATCGTCAGCATAAAGAAGGTGAGAGACAGGATGTCCCCCACCATAGATTGGAACACCCAACTCCTTGTAGTTCTGATGGATATTGGCAGATAGGAGCTCCGAGCAAAGAATGAACAAATAAGGTGACAAAGGGCACCCTTGACGAAATCCACAATCAGCCTTAATATCTTCTGAAAGCTGTCCATTAATCATGATTGTGAACTTTGGATCTTTGACACAACTAAGCAACCAAGAACTGAATCTAGGAGGAAAGCCCATCTGTCTAAGTACAAGTTCCAATGTCCTCCAACTCATTTTATCATATGCTTGCTCCATGTCTACCTTCAGAGCTAAGAGACCCAAAGATGATTTGGAGACTTTGAATTTGTTCAACAATTCTTGAGCCAATAAATAGTGATTGGATATTGATCGACCAGGAACAAAAGCTGCCTGTTCCTCAGAGACAAGCCTTGGCAAAACTCCTTTCAATCTGTTGACTAAAACCTTCGCTACAATCTTGTAGATTGTCTGGCACAGGCTAATAGGCCTGAATTTGGAAGGATGAATTGGATTCACCACCTTTGGGATCAAAACTACAACAGTCTCCTTCCAACTTGGTTCCATAATTCCTCTAGCAAAGAATTCCAAGCAAGCACTTACAACTTGTTCACCGACGATCTCCCAAAAAAACTTGAAAAACGATGTTGTAATCCCATCTCTACCAGGAGCTATATTTCAGCCAAAAGATTTTACAACCTCCCATATTTTCTCTCTGGAAATTTCACTGTCCAGCATCCCAAAAAAATGTGACAAGAAATCCCTTTGCAGCTCAAAAGAAGGCCAGCCATGTTTGATAATACCTTGTCCCTTCCATTTATGTTCAAAGAACTCATGCATACCCTTCATAATCTCACTTTGCTCAGAAACCACATTACCATCAGATAGTTTCAAAGAATTAATACTATTTGTCCTCCTCCTTGCAGAAGCCATAGAATGGAAGAAACGTGTATTGCCATCTCCCTCTTCAATCCATCTAACTTTTGCTCGTTGCTTCCACCACAACATTAAACGAGCCAGAGTACTGTTAAGCAACTGAACTTTATATTTCAAAGCTTCCTCTTGAATAACAGTCAAACCACTTGGCAAACACTCCAATTCCTGCAACTCCTTAATCTCCTTGTCAAGCTCCTCTTTCAATTGATTTAACATTTTAACTTTGTTTTTACTCCAAAAAAATAGAGCCTTCAAAGTTCTTTGACACTTCTTATTTAGCTTACAAGCCTCATTTCCCTCATCATCTACTTTCCATTTATCCCAAACCAGTTGCCAAGCTTTAGGTAAGCTAGCCCACACATCTTCAAATTTTATCCAATGAGAATAAGATCTCCTCACTTCACTTTGAAAGGAACATAGAATTGGGCAATGATCAGAAGCAAGTCTAGTAAGGTGTCGTACCTTTAATCCTTGGAAGGAATCCAAAATAGAGGAGCTAATAAGAAAATGATCCAATCTTGAAAAAATCCTACTTCTCGCATCTTTGTTATTTGTCCATGTATAAGCTGGACCCAAAAAACCTGGATCAACCAAGCCATTAGCTGCCATGAAATTTCCCATATCACCTGCAGCCCCAGAAAAATGAAAAGCTTTTCCACCCTTCTTATCCTCTTGAGACATAATGCAATTGAAATCACCCCCAACTAACAAGGGAGCATCCATATTATGAGTTTTGGAAATATCTTCCCAAACTTGGTTCCTTATATATCTGTCTTTATTAGCATAAACAACAGCCACCTCCAAACTCAAACCATTAACTCCACAAACCTTCCCCATGATACACTGATTTGTTTTAAAGAAAGAGTGAAAGGAGATAAAGGCATTTTTCCATAAAACTAAAATGCCTCCAGCATTACCAATAGCCGGCTCAAAAATAAACTCCCAGTCTTTCCCTACCATTTTATCCACCTCTTTCCTGCTAAAGGACTCCATTTTTGTCTCCAACAAACCAATGAAACTAACATCAAACTCCCCAATAAGGTGCCGTAAGTAATTGCCCGTCTTCCTCTTACGAGCACCTCTACAATTCCAGCATAGGAAGTTAAACATGATCCACCAAAGGGGAAGCGTCCCCACCGCCAAAAAATTCAGAATAAACCCCTTGCCACTGTCCAGCAAATTCCATATCCTGACATTTACTTTCCACAGATTTATCAACTACATTAACAAAATTCTCATTAGAAGGAATGGATTGTTCCTTCAGATTATCCCTCCTGACACCCGGCAATTTCTGAAGAGAACCAATATGTGACGTTTCCTTAGTATGCCGCAATTTAGTGCCCCTAGCCATCTTATTTGTTCCTTTCAATATTCTAGATTTGGAATCCGAAAACTTCAGCACCTTAGGAACAAGCAATTTAGCAGGTGAAACCTTAGTTTTCCTGCCATGATGTATACCACCCATTCCTTTCATTGCACCAGCCATGGCCTTCCCCAACCCATCATTTGTTGCATTCTGAAATTTAGTTTGTTCCATGCTACAAGAAATATCCTGAGCCAACATTTCCATATTAACCTTCTGAGCTTGTGGACTTTCAATAATAATAGCTTCCTTCTGAACCAAACCATCCTCAGTAACATTTTGGTATTGACTATAATCCATACTACTTGACTCCTTTTGTACCTCATCTTTCAACTTCTGTCCCACTTCCTGACCACCAGTCTCCTTCTGCAGCACACCCTTCTGTACCTTATCAACAGCTCTCCAGACTGAAGTAGGAGCAGGAATTGACTGCTTATTGCCAACAGATTGAGGTCTCTGTCCAGATTTATTAATAGGTCTCTTCCTCCTAGTAACAATTGTCCATTCTCCTTGATCCACATCTATATCTACAGAGTTTGAGACTCTCCCCTTACCATCACAAGCAGGGTCATGCTTCAATCCTGAATCAGTTGCTTCAGTACCTCCCAGCTTCTGTGACTCCCCAAGTTCTAATCCCTGCTCTTAGGTAAAACACAAGCCTCCTTACACAGCTCGGCTTTATGGCCAACCCTTCCACATCTTAAACAGATTAGAGGAATGCCTTCATATTCAATTGGTTGGAAGAACATACCTTCCAACCCGTGAACCCAAATACCCTTGGGTAACCTCTTAGATAGATCCAATCTAATACAGATGCGCGCAAATGCACATCTATTCCAAAGCTTGGTTTGCTCATCCATTAGCAATGGTTCCCCAATGCCCCTAGCCAGCCTAGCTAGATTAGCTTCATCCCAATATTCTAACGGTAAGTTTGGAAGTCTTACCCACACAAGAGACGTAAATCCTCTCAAAGATTTAGAGGAAATCCCTGTTGACCACTGCTCCACCCCAATAATCTGACCAGCTACATACCACGGGCCACCAATAAGAACATTGTCCCTAGCCTCCACATTCACAAACCAACAGAGAAAGCAGTCAGATCCAAAAGGCGTAATCTGAGTCAACCCAAGATGACTCCACTTCCTTTGCAATTCATTTTGCACAACCCAAAATGGAAGACGCCAGCCTAATAGACTGCCAACCAATGTTCTACTCAACTTCTGAATATTTCCCCTAGCTTTAACCAAATCCAAATTTACTGAGCCATCTTCCCGCAAAAAACCACCAGCATCTTCATTTAAACTTAGTTTGACAGCAGGGGATTTCTTCCATGCATTCCCACTATTTTTAATGTAATGGATGGCCAAGAGCTCAACCTGAGTGCTATCCCAGTGAGCAATACTCCACCCCGCAGCAATCAGCAGCCGTCCAGCACAGTCCCAAAGAATAATACCAATTCCCCCGCGTTGGATCGAGAGAGAGTCCCATCCACATTAAATTTTAGCCAGCCTGAAGGGGCACAAGAATAAGATAAAGACAATCCATTGGATTTAAAGGTGACCCGTTGCTCCAGATTGTCCGTAAAAAATGATTGTCAGGAAGCACTTAGAATATTTGCAACCATGACGGATGGGGATTGAGTGGCCTTGCTATGCCTGAAGGTCATTGCGGTTCTCCCAGCTGTGAAACACCGCAGAATAATACAGAGACTGCCAATCATCTTTTGCATTATCACGACAATTTAATGCCACCAGAAGCTCGGCAAGAGAAGAAAACCGTGGGGTGCAGAAGCCCCAACCGCCCAGGTAGTTCAAGACATCACGAAGCTGGCGGCATTGAGGAGTGATGTGGTCAAGATCCTCCGAATGGTTATAGCCCATAGGACAACGCAACTCCATACCCAGGCCACGCCGGTGCAGCCATACGCAAGTGGGAACAAGATCTTTAAACACTCGCCACCTGAAGACACGTTCACGAGGCCTTAGCCCAAGCTTTAAATTGTCGCAAAATTCCTCCTCCATCCCTTGAAACAAGCTGTTGTAACAGAGAGCCGACACAGAAGAGCCAATAGAAGAATTTATGAGTTCCAAAGAATCCACATCCAAATCCCTCCATATTTTGACCGTGCTTATCCTATCATCCATGTCGTCCCCAAACCAGAGTTTCAGTTTGGCTCTGTCCCAAGTATACTCCGCCGTTAAGAGTTCACTGACCATGCACCCATCAATAGCTTCAATATTACAAAAAATAAGCCATGAACCAATAGTCCTGTCAAGAATCCAAACATGGTTGACCACACTAATGTCCAACCCATTGCACACCATCCATTTAACGCAATTGGCCAAGCTATTCGCCCCATCACAAATCACCTTCCACCCGATTGACTCACCCCGATGGTGATCTTGCTGCCATGGCCACTCCCCATATTTGTGCCTTAAGCACCTCTGCAGAAGATTGAGAGGTTTGTTGAGGAAGTCCCAGGTGATCCTCGCCCTCAACGGCCCTGTCCATAAGCTGCAGGCATGGAAACCGAGCCCCCCAACCACCTCAGTTTGGTGATCAGATTCAACGGTGCATAGTGAAGTCCCTGGTGGTTTGAGTCCTTATCCCATAGGAAGCTCCGACAAATCATCTCCACCTCGGTTAACACACCCCTAGGTACCAGGGTGTGCGATATCATATACACCAGCAACGGGAGCACGACGGAGTTGATCAAAGTTATCCTACCAGCCAAGGACAATTGCCACACTCCCCAGCCAAGAGTGTGCCCCCTAATTTTTTGTAGAAGTGGGCTAAAATCCATCTTATTCAATCGTCTCAGTGCAAATTTAACCCCCAGATATTCCATCTCCTCTACACGGCGACAACTGTCGAGCCGAGATAACCTGTGCTTGGAGGTGGACAAAACCATCCGGCTGAACAGAATGGCCCACTTGTTCTTGTTAATTCTTTGTCCAGTCCACGCGCAATAATCACCGAGAGCATCCAGGATCCTCTTCACATTCGAAATAGTAGCACCTACAAAAATCAAGATATCGTCAGCATAAAGAAGGTGCGAGACGGAGGGTCCTCCCGTCCTAATTTGAACGCCGCGCTCCAGAAAACTTTGGTGGATATGTTGAGAAAGGAGCTCCGAGCAGAGTATAAAGAGATAGGGGGAAAGCGGACATCCCTGCCGGAACCCACAGCCAGCCGTGATCCATTTCAATAGTTGCCCATTAATCAAAATGGAGAACCTGGGCGTAACCACACAACTCAGCACCCACGAGCAGAAACGGGCAGGAAACCCCATCCGCAGCATAACCATCTCAAGCATTCTCCAGCTCATTTTGTCGTAGGCCTGCTCCATGTGCACCTTCATAGCCAGCCAGCCCTTTGCAGATTTAGACACTTTGAATTTGTTTATAACCTCTTGCCCCAGTAGGCAATGATCCAAGATTGATCTCCCAGGCACGAAAGCTTCTTGTTCCTCGGAGACCAAACTAGGCAAAATCCCTTTAATACTGTTGACCAGGACCTTTGCAACAATCTTGTAAATAGTCTGGCACAGGCTGATCGGATGGAACATAGACGGGTGATCAGCTTTTTGAGATTTCGGCAATAGAACCACCACAGTATCCTTCCATCCCGGATCCATCCTTCCCACCGAGAAGAATTCCAAGCAGGCAGCCGTAACCTGCTCCCCAAAAATGCTCCAGTACAGCTTAAAGAAAGAAGCTGTCACGCCGTCGTGCCCAGGTGCACGGTTAGGCCCCATAGCCCGAACGACCTCCCAAACTTCCTCACCAATAACAGCTCCATCCATCAACCCAGCCCACCGAGATAGATTGATATAATGAGATACCATGGAGGGCCACCCGTCCTCTGATATGCGCTCCCCACACCATTTTTGTTCAAAAAACGAATGCATCCTATCCAGAATCTCATGCTGTTCCGTGACCAGATTACCGTCCGGAAAATTAAGACGGTCAATAGTATTGGACCGATGTCTAGCAGACGCCATCGAGTGAAAAAAGCGAGTATTCCCGTCTCCTTCTTCAATCCACTTGACCTTTGCGCATTGTCTCCACCACAACATGATACGGCTAAAAGTGGAATTCAGCAATTGGACCTTGTATCTCAAGGATTCAGCCTGGATGACAGAAAGGCCCGCAGGAGAGCATTCCATTTCCTGAAGGGCCCTGATCTCACCATCCATCTCCTCCTTAATCTGATTCAGCCTCTGGAACCTATTCTTACTCCAAAAGAACAGGGCCTTGAGGATTCTATGACATTTCTTCTGCAATTTCAAAGCCTCACTCCCCACATCCGCAACTCGCCACTTAGTGAGGACAATGTGCCACGACCTAGGGAAACTAGCCCAGACGTCTTTGAATTTAATCCAGTTAGAGACCCTGCGTGCCCGCCTCTCTTGAAAGATGCAAAGGATGGGGCAGTGGTCCGAGGCCAGCCTAGTCAGGTGTTTGTCCTTTAATTCCTGGAAGTTTTCCAAAATGATCGAGCTGACCAAAAATTTGTCCAGACGAGAAAAAATCCGGCTGTGAGCATCTTTGTTATTGGACCAAGTATAAGCTGGACCAATAAAACTAGGATCAACCAAATCATTAGAAAGCATGAAATCCCCCATCTC